CAGATCAACAATAAAGCCAATTCTCTGCATTTATCACTTCTTCAAGATACAGTTGTTCTATTTTAAAGATAACACAAATACACTTGTTAGAATTTATATGCATTATACATATATTATATATTACATAGATAGTGTGTATACATATGTAGTGTTTGTACAGATAGATAAATATATATATACATGGGTGTGTGCACATGTACAGATACACACAGATGTACTGGAGGCCATCTGTACTACTTGTAACTGCTGGAGTCTAAGGCTGAGCCAAACTGGAGCTAGTTGGATGTGAAATGCTCTTTTGTTTCAAACATGTTAATTATCCCAGTGAACATACTGCCCTGCCCTTGCAGACACCCTCGCCTTCTTTACAGTGTGAAATTATGCGAGCACTTCAGCATTTATATTGCATTAATGAGTAAATGGGTAGCTTAATAATAGAAGATCAATCAAGGAAAACTGCATATTTTTACAAACTGATTTAGTAAACCAGATTAGTTCAAACTCCAGGGGATCATGTGCATATTAATTTTTAGGATGTTCTAGAAATCATAAATCATTCCTATACTAGTCCTGATCCTACTTGCATTTGGGTTTACTAGTTGTTCCTACTGTCTGCTGCCTCTTATTAACAGAACCTCAAGGATGGATTGGTTTTGAAATGTCCTATATGATTATGGATAGACTGCTTTAATTGTCAATAGCCTGAAGGAAATAGACAACTCAAAACACCAAAGTATGTGAGAAGAACGGAAGACAAAACCACTCCTTAACACTTAAAATCAGCCGGGCATTGATGGCGTACGCCTTTAATCCCAGCACTTGGGAGGCAGAGGCAGGCGGATCTCTGTGAGTTCGAGACTAGCCTGGTCTACAAGAGCTAGTTCCAGGACAGCCTCCAAAGCCACAGAGAAACCCTGTCTCAAAACAACAACAACAACAACAACAAAACACTTAACAAAATCAATCACAGATAAATTCAAGGAGGACCCAAGATTTTCCTATTAGAATTTTTTCATGCTTATGGTCATGATTCAATAATGTTTTCATTGTAATTAGACAGATTTATTTTAAATACTAGTCTGATGTAGCATGTCCCGGGGAGTCAAGCTCCCAAAAACTCTAGAGTACTTCAGTATGACACATCCTGTTACTTCACAGTTCTTAGTGACACACACGCCCATACACATCCTCTGACTAGAATAAGATGAGGGATATCTGATATCTCATAAGGCTGTTAGTTTCTGAACATGGATTCATAGTTCATTCCAGAGAAGTCATGCTCAGATTTTAAGATTATAGAGTAAAGAAACATCCAATGTTTATTCTGGCGCAGACCATACCAAGTCTAATCATACATTATTCGTGTGAATGGAAACTACTGACTAGTTAGTTTTCAGTAGAGAGAAATGCTCAAAACTGAATTTCTAACTGTGAAGAAAAAGCTCATTTTATATTTGGCCACTGTGAATTTCCCATCACAATATATAGTGTATATATATTATTGAGATATAATATACATATACTATAGAGAAAAATTAAATATATATACATTATATATATTAGATGACAAAATGTTATTCTTTTTACTTAAAAGATGATAGCCAACTGAGATAATATACAATATATAGGTATGTTCACTTGCCAGTATATGGATATATGTATTTTGAATCTATAAAGAATATATATTCCAAAGAGAAAACCCTGAAAAACAATGACATCTTACTTTGTGATGTGCATGAAAGGGACTACCTTAAGATGAATGCTGAATTGTACTAGTTTTTTTGTTGTTGTTGACCTACAAAAACAAATGAGAAATTTTAGGTATAAGGCTTTTTATTGATGCAAGGAATCTATTATTTATTTGCATCTTTTCAACTGTCTAATACATGCCCTCAATAAATTGTATGGGAAAACAAAGTGAATGAAAGGGTGGATTTTGGCTTCATATTTAATAGAACTTAGGAAAATGCTAACCTCATAAATGAATGAATCTCTCTAAGGCTGCTAGAATTTTGGGAATCCAGTAGCTAACTCCCCTTCATTTTCCCATGAGTCCTTTGCCCTCTCCTAGAAGGCAACCTCAAGCCCATTCCAGAAGTTACTCAGAGGAGATGGCACCAAGGAAGACAGGCAGAACTTGGCTGAGAACTGTATCTGATAGGCTCCAAGAACATGTTTTCAACATCTAGATGCATCTACACTTGGGCTTCCTATCTTATTTCATGTCATATTACTAATTGGATGTGTGGCCAATTTGTGTTGGTGTGACAAAGAAAGTCAGAGAGCATCTCTCAAATATGGAAAGAGAAACTTTCTGCGGGGACTCTATCAATACTCACAGGAACAGTGCCACCAGTTTCCTCAGAGAATAAAAATGTGTTCATTTTCTGGGCATATAAATTTGATTGAGTCCTCTGACTTACAGACCTCATGGCAAGGAGGATAAGTCTCTGAGGTCATCATCACCAAGACACTAATTTCCTTCCATATGGATTTAGAATAGTTTTCTTCAAAGAGGACTCTGTGGAGATGGTTGTCACTTTTGTAGGAACTATCTAGGAGTGTCCCTCCTGTCAGCTCAAGCTCTTTACTAGGTTGACTCTCGTTGTCTTTCCTGTGATTTTGCTAGAAGACTGACATGGAGCGCCTACAGTGGTAGATGTGTGTGCTTTTCGTCATTCAGCTGGTACCCAAAACTTAAGCTCTAGGACTGGCAGTAACTGTTTATTTCTTTTTTGTCATACACATCAGCACTCACATAAATGACAATTCTTCCAGTTAAGATTTTGTGCTTTGTTAGATGGGTAGATTTTTCTTAGCTCATACTTTTTAACCAATTCCAATCTATCTCTCACAAGTCACTTATGATAATCCCCAGTCATGCATTTAAAAATCAACTTCAAGGAACAGGTCAAAGAAAATTTTGGAATTGGTCACATAGTCTAAAACACACAGTCACCCATCAATCATTGCTATCTACTTTTTTTCCCAAAGGACAGAAAGAAAGGAGTCTAGAGACATTCTTTGCTTGGTTTAAATAACCATGGATCTTACCATCGTGTTTAAAGAGAATTTGGTATTTCATTTGAATAGCTTATTATAGAAAAGGCAATGACGTTTGGAGTACAGAATGATCTCTAAGTGACCTGAGAAAGCAGCTCTGGTCTGGCCAGCTTAGTTATGTTGTTTGAGTAGAATGCCCACCAATGGAACATCTTCTCTTCAAGTGTAAAACGAAGCACTCAGGCTTTAAGACTCTGTTGGCTTTCCAGGGGTATCCTTCTTGTTTTTGCTCAAACTATGAATGGGGGTATGTGTAATAAAACTGTACAATTTGACAGATTTAGACAGCTGGCTCCTTCAAGAGACATTCACATTCTGTTAGTGTCACCCACATTGAATAAGGGATGATTTGATAGGAAGGTCCACTTACAAAAATGGTTGTCAGGGCAGTTTTTCCTTTTTTTAATTGTAAAACTTTCTGTGATGGAATTCAGTAAAAGGACTATGAAGAGAAAGCAATGGAGACAAAAGATTGCTATTAACCTACAGATGCAGGCTACTGCATGGTTCATTGCAAGATTTGTCACAGTGTTGGGCCAATGAAGTGTCGGTGAGACTAGAAGGGACCACCCCTTTTTTAGGGTAAGAGGGCAATTTGGTCTCCATGCTCATTTAGCTCCAAGACTTCTTTGAATAGACTGTCAATTGAAGCGAAATTGTGCAAAATTATGCATGCACTTTTTAATGCAGGCTATTGTTCACTAAGCACCAAGATTTCTCAACCCATTTCCATTGGTATGAGGTCACTGGAAACCCAAGTAATCATATACGGAAGACAGGAGCAGTGGAGCCAATAAATTGTTCTATGTTGTGGATTCTTTACAATTCCTTAGAATCCACAGTGTAATTGCAACTCTCCCACTTTAAAACAACAGATTGTTGTTGTTGCTTCATAATTAAGACTCATATTCCTAAGGATAAGGAGCATGTGTGCAATATCAGCCAGTGCTTGGTGCATATATGATTCTACACTTTGGATTCCAGAGGAATGGATGTTATGGTAGAGTGTGTATGCTTATCATGGTCAGTAGTACACAGCCATTATGCTTTGTTAGAATGCAAACGTGCAGAGATGGCAAATGGAAAACCACTAAGAACAATGTCTGTCAGACTCTTGTAACTTAGAGTACGTCATTTCTCTAAGAAAATCTGAACAGAGCATTTGTAGGCAATGTATTGAAGCAACAGCCAAGGGCTACTGTCACAGTGTCCTGAAGGAACATGTGCATGGAAGTCAGTGTTGCCAAGAATGAAGATTTGAAGAATCTGTACATTAGGCAGCTGATGCACAGCCGGAAGTGGCTGTGAGTGAACAAGCCCTTTTCCATGGAGGGTGGAGTCAGAGTGCACACCTTAACCTTCTACTCCCAGACTCTGACAGCCATGCTATGGTGAAAGCACTGCACATGTGTGCAATGCTGGAGTTCTGGAAGGACTGGCTGTCTTCTTGCTTTTTCATTTGACCAGTGAGGTGGTTGGTACAAGTTGGTACAAGGCCACACTGCTAGATTAGATCCAAGGCACATTAAAGGCTGTTTGCTTCCTTACCCCCGCCCCTTCTTTCCAATTAAGTTGGTGAAAATGTAACTTTAGTAATTTACAGGACAGGGTAAAGGTGTTTCATCTAGGTGATGTCTATATTATAAAAATAAAATAAAAATATAAATATGTAACACAAACCCAGTGACTATTGTTACACAAAATATACAATAGAAGCAGTCCATTCAGGAAGATTGCTTTTTTAAATAGGTTGCTCTGATTTAATCATAAGACATTGAAAACCATCTTGAGGTTAAGCTGAAGTAACCTGATTGCTCTGTCAAATAAAAGGTGAGTGCACAATATTGTGTAATTAGACACATCAACAGGAATGCAGAGTACAGCCTCACATCACGCTGCTTGCTCACAAATCTATCAAGGAGTTTGGAAACATGCTCTCTTCTTATAGACCTTTAATATAAAAATATTTCTACCACATTGCACAACAACATTTCAAAACCCTACTATGCTCAACTTTAGTAATTGCAGACAGAAATTTCCTGGGAACTAAAGGAATATCTTCTGATGCCATAAACATTCTGTAATTAATTCTCAGTGGAAATTTTGTGTGAAGTACTTCACAGCGGGAAGTAGATATTAAAAACAAAACAAAACAAAACAAAACCACCTGTTATATAAAATGGGGTCTGGGGATTGTGAGTGCACGTGTTGGACGTGTGTATGTGAATGAACAACATACACACTGAAATCTGCACATTTCTGGAAATTGCTTTTAAATTACTAAAAGAAAATGAGATCACAGGAGTGTGTAGCAGGAAGATAGTCTCTCTTTTTAATGACAAGATCAAAATAAATGCCCACCAGGAAGGACTATTCAACTGTCCCGGAAACTATACAATGTAACTTGTGAGATCCAGCAAATAAGATGTCATGTCAATGATGTGATCCAGAATACCTGCCCTGGCCACTCTGCGTATGCTTCTGTCCACGTGCTCACACTGAGGACCAAGGTAACCTTTCTTACAGAGGCACTTGTTCGGTCTGACACAGACACCTCCATGACGACATGCTGGCTCACATTTGGCTGCAAGAAAGAAAACATGGTATTATTCATTTTTAAATCTTTCTAAAAAGATTTTATTTATTATGCATACAGTGTTCTGCCTGCATGTATGCCTGCAGACCAGTAGAGGGTATCAGATCTCATTACAGATGTTTGTGAGCCACCGTGTGGTTGCTGGGAATTAAACTCATGACCTCTGGAAGAGCAGCCAGTGCTCTCAACCTCTGAGCCATCTCTCCAGCCCCATGGTATTATTCTTAAACTTCATGTCAGAAGCCATGCCATGTATGAGACCAAGTATTTGATGAATAAGGAAAGGTAGGAAAAGAAGGCGGAAAACAGTCAAAAACTGATTGGACAGAGGAATATACACTCACGACAGTTTCCAGACACAAAGTTTTTTAGGGGCATGAATTGAGCTTACTTGTGTCCAGATGTCAGCACAAGGAGAAGCAGGGCTCATGATAAACTATCACAATCATTTGCAGAACCTACACTAACACAATAATGCCAGCCCTTTCAACTCCTGCTCCACAGGGCATTTTAACCAACAGCAACTCCATTCCTTAAGGGTAGGACCTCACAGGAGAGAGACTGGCCTTGAGAAAGGCGCCACCAGCTGGAGCAGTTCCAATGTGACACTGAAATAAGGTCAGTTTGGGACTGGTGTTGCATGCAATATCCAACATCTGGTCTCCCTGGCATCCCTGCTTCCCCATGCTACAGGGAATGCCCAGAACACACTGATCTCTGATTATACATGAAGTTCCATCCTGGGCTCCGTGCAGAGACTGGCAGAGGACTTTCTGGGCAATGCTTTTTAGGGCTGCTTAAAGCATTGAGTCTCTTAAATAAATCATTTGTCTCCTACAATATAGAAAAAGAATGTTAAGATTTACTGTGATGATGGAATGGAGAGACACAGTTTGGTATATTCATTAGTTGTCACTGATAAGTCTAGGGGTGGAGCTACCACAGACATAATAAAATTATTTGAATACATTTCCTCGTTAGGATCAGGGTCACTTTTCAGATATAGTATTCAAGATTCATGGTCCTGGGACTGGCCCATGGGAAAGAAAGCATAAACAAAAATGAAAGCCCTCTGTCTTTCAAACTTATGGAAGCTGTGTGAACCACATGGGTGTATAAATAACATTCTTCACTGAAGACATACTAGATTACTTTTATAAAGTGTTTTTTTTCTTTTTTCTTATTTAAAGTATTTAAAATTAATCAGGAGAAATCTTAGTTGAGAAGATTTTATAGAAACAAAACAAATGTTAACCAAAGTTAACCAAAATTACCATGTTTCTCTTATATTTAAAATAACTTGTTTGCCCTCAGTGTAAGTATGCTGTCCAGAGAAGGCACTCAGAAAATATTTTTTAATTTATGTATGTTTGAGGAGAAATAGCAGTTAGGCAAAGTGCAAAGACTTTAACAGAATTGGTTGCTATCTAAAGAAACAAGGAATTAGGAGGAATACATATTATCCAGCACTGAAAGAAGCAGAGAAACAATATCCATGTATATGACTACTATTATATTTGTACATTGATTCTTTGTTTTGTGCTCAACTGACTAAAAGGAAGATGGAACGGTCAATAGAGTGTACATTCTTGTTCTGAATAACAACCTAGATTCTGCCGAGTTGTAATTATGTATCTCTTTTCCTAGGTTTATAGCTCTAACTCTAATCAGTTGTTAACAATGTTACTAAATGGCAGAAGCAATTTAAGTTTAAAATATGTACTGTCTATATGACTCTAAATGTTGGTTGTTTTTGTTAGACAATATGCAAGCCAAGCAAGTTGTGATTATAATATCTTTCAAAACAGATATATCTTTAGAATAAAAGGCAAGATTTATAAGCCAAGAGAAATATTAAATATTAATTTGAATTTTTGTTTTCATTGGCAGGGTGTACTTTAATGTGTGATACAGTAGAGATCAAAACCACTTCTGATTAATGCATGCACACTCCTTGGTGAATTTGTATTTCAAGACCAATCTTAAACTCTTAAGTTTCTAAATTCATTCATTTTCTTTTTTATTTATTTATGTGATTGAGTGCTCTGTCCTCCTGTATGCCTGCAGGACAGAAGAGGGCGTCAGATTCCATCATAGGTGGCTCTGAGTCACCATGTGGTTGCTGGGAATTGAACTCAGGACTTCTGGAAGAAGAGCCAGTGCTCTTAACTACTGAGCTGAGTCTCTATCCCTTATTCATTTTTCTTAACTTCACACCAATTAGAATTTAACATAACAGGAAACTGAGGAAATCTCACATGACGGGCTAGAATAACCCAAACAAATGTGTTTCATTCTCTTTGAGCAGCTGCTGCTCACTTCACAAAGAGTTACAAGGGAGTGGAGTAGAATAGTCTCATAATGTGTCTAGATAATTGCATTTTCCCCTTTTAGTTAGTAACAAGTAACTGAAAATCTCCATTCCTAGTGTGCCACAGTGAAATGCTACCATGAAGCCAGAGAGGGCATCGATGCGGTGTCTGGAAAAGGCTGGCACTTGGCCATGGCTTTGGCAAGCACCAAGTCTTTGGCGGGTGTGAGTGCTCCAAATGCAGGACTGTGGTGTTCTGTTTTCATTTTTCCTTCCTTTTGAAAGGACTCAGTCACTTAGAGATCTTGTATGCTCATGATTAACTTAAGTACGACCTACATTAGAATGAGAAGAATTTCATTGCAACTTCAGAAAGAGAAATTGTGAAGCACTAGCCTCTTGCACACTAGATGATTCTAGAAACAGGTGATATTAGTTTCTCAAGCACCCATGGGCCATTTACACTGTTCCAGGTGATAACAGAAATACTAACCAATTCTGCAGAAGTCTCCCTCCCAGCCTGGACTGCAGCAGCACTTGCCGGTGGGGGTGTAGTAGCCGTTTCGACAGAGCCGGGAGCAATCTGAGGTCAGGGTTTGCGCAGGTTGAACTGTGACTCTGCATTCCTCGGGCATTAAAGGTCTGCACCCCAAAACAATAGTTGACATTGTATATCAGTTGAAAATCAAAATGATGAAATCGAGTGATCTTATAGCTTATGAAGTAAGATTTTTTTTTTTCAAATGACACAGTCAACTCACAACTTCAGAAGAACATAAAAATACCCTGGTAATGGGAAGTAGCGTAAGAAACTTTATTACCATCAAAATTCTCCATAAAAGATACAAGAAGAATATGGCTCATTTGTATTTGTTAGCTAGAATTCTAGAAACTTTAATTTTAAATATTTAAAATTTTCATTTGATGGTGTGTGTGTGTGTGTGTGTGTGTGTGTGTGTGTGTATGGGTGTGCATGTGCCATGGTTCATGTGTGTAGGTCAGAGGTCAGCTTTCTCTTTTTACCTTCTGATGGGTTCTGGGGATGGCACTCATCGGTAGGCTTGCTCAGTGAGGGCTTTACTCATTGAGCTTTCTCGACAGCCATCAAACTGCAATTTTAAAAATAGAAGGGCAAGCATGTTTGGAAGCTTCCTTCCACTGAGATCTGCAAACACTTTTAGGGATAGCACCCCAGATTTCCTCTTGTGTTTGGCCAAGCTGGAGATATTACAGGGCCAGTTACATCTGTCATAGTGATCACTGACTGACTAACAAACATGGAAATGAATCCCTTCTGTTCTGTTCCCTTTTCTCTCTTCTTTCTTTTTTAATGGTTCTTGGGGTCAAACCCAGGGCTTTGAACACATTAGGCGTGTGCTATGTATGCTGCCCTTCTTTACACTCCCCCACAACCTTGTCTCCTAGAAAGTATCTCTCTCTTTCTCTGTCTGTTTACCTTGTCTGTCTGTCTGTGTGGTGATATATTGTTCGTGATCTAAAAAGCAACTGATCTGTATCCTCCCCTTTTGTAGATTTATTCTTTTTGTATTAGTCAAAAAGAGGAATTTTGGTGATATATTATTGATGATTTAATAAAGCAACTGGAGATCAAAATGCAAAGCTAGCCACAGCCATAGAGCCAGGCATCGGTGGTATACACTTTTAATCCCAGGTCTCAGGAGACAGAGGCAGATGGCTCTCTGTGAGTTCAAGGTCATCCTGGGTTACATTAGAGTGAATCAGTCTAAAAGAGAAACAGCTCACACAAAGGTGATCTCAGCCCTTGGGACCCCACTCCTTTAATCCTAGCTGTAGAGAGGTATATAAGATAGGAGTGGGGTATTCACTATTTAGTCTCAGAGATTTATTCTCCAGCAATGCTGAGGACATGACAGTCCTTTCAGCCTGAGGTAGAGGTGAGAGCTAGTGGCCGGCTGCTTTGCTTTCCTCATCTTCAGTTGGTTTGTTAGATCATAAACAATGTATCACCACATGTCTGTGTGTCTCTCCTTTCAGGGCAGGATCTCCCTATCTCCCTGTCTCTGTTTTTCTTGCCTTTTGGTGAAGGCATTGTGTAGCCCAGGCTGGCCTCATGTGTGTTTTATAGATTGGACTTGAACTGGAAAGCCTTTTGTTTTAGCCTCTCACTTACTAGGATTACAGTAGTGTGCCCCGGCACCCAGATCATTTTACTTTATGTTGAGATGAATGTAAATTGATCTGGGTGCAGGTGAATATTTATGCTGCAGAATTTAACATTTGAAACTATTAATGCAAAGAAAGACATGTATAGGATGGAGATTTTATGAATTATATAAAGTCAAAATATTTTATTATATAATAACTTAATTAGCTCCTGTTATGAAGAGAACGAATGTTAATAATAGCAAGCACAAATATATCATTTGCAACGTGAAACTTCATGTATTTTGTATTAATTGTTCTACACTATTGTCATTTATAGAGAAAACTAAGCCATCAAAGATTATTTTTTTAATGTTTCTGCTTTTCTAATGCTGTTATTTAAACATGATCAAGATGGCACCAGAGCTCCAAATATTCATAACCTAATATTTAGGGAGAAGTAGTCAGGGTTCCTTTCCTGGAGTGTCCTATCCTCACTGGTGTCCATGTTACCACATGGTGAGAAGGACCTTCTAGCAAAGAGTATAAACAAATGTTATTAGTTTCTCATGTGCTTCCAAAGTCTAGGTTTAACCACAAAAACTCAGTTATAGGGATTTCCTAGTTAGAAAAAGAATTAAGCCTTGAAGTTTTTTTCTTTTTTTTGAGATAGGGATTCTGTTTAGCACTAGCTGTCCTCACTGTGTAGATCAGGTTTGCCTCAAACTTAGAATCTGCCTCCCTCTGCCTCCTGAGGGTTGGGATTAAAGGAGTGTGCCACCACCACTGCCCAGTGAGATTCTGTTTTCTTAAGACTAGTTATGTCCTCCTGCCAACAGGAACAGTGATCAAATTTAGAGGCCTTCTATAATGCTCTAAAATCATGTGTTAAAATCTCAAATACTAAAGATGTATAGAAACTTCTATATCTCCTCTCATCAATAAAAGTCCTTACTAGGCTAGGGTGAAACACCAGAGTTCTCTGTTTCTTTCTTGTACAAAACTCTTACTTTATTTGTGTAACTGTAGTGTTTCTGATCACCAACAAAGCCAGTTTCAGGAGCCTTGGTGCTCAATGTTAAACAGAATGTGTTATATACACTAAATGTAACTTCTTCAGATAAACTCTATGAAGACAAACATTGCTCTCTTCTTTGTGTCTCAGAAGGACATAGAAGAATATGTAGCCCATGGAAATGCTTAATGAAATCTGATGGGAAATGTCCTTCTGTATATAGGTTTCTCTTATTGGTTGATGAATAAAATGCTGATTGGCCAGTAGCCAGGCAGAAAGGATGGATGGGGCTACCAGACTAGGAGAATTCTGGGGAGAGGAAGGAAGAGAGAAGCCACTAGGGAGATGCCATGTAGTTGCCAAAGGAGTAACATGCTGGATTATGGGTAAGTCACAGCTTTGGGGCAATACATAGATTAATAGAAATGGGTCAATAATTAAGAGAGAGCTACTCAATAAGAAGCCTGAGCCATCAGCCAAACAGTTTATAAATAATATAAGTCTCTGTGTGTTTATTTGGAGCTAAATGGCTGTGTGACCAGGTGGAACAGAACTTCCATCTACAGAAATCTGGATAAGATTAATAACTGGGTGTTTAAAAGTGTCTTTTCCTATGCTGTTAAGTAGAGATATTAGGAATATATGGGCTATGGAGGGAACAATATATTACATCTATTATGTATTGTACAAGTGTGCATATGCTGTGGTTCATGTGTGTAGGTCAGAGATCAGCCCTGTGATGTCAGCTTTCTCTTTTCACCTTCCCATGGGATCTTATGATGGCACTCATTGTTAGGCTTGCTCAATGAGGGCTTTATTCATTGAGCCTTCTCGACAGCCATCAAACTGCAATTTTAAAAATAGAAGGGCAAGCATGTTTGGAAGCTTCCTTCCACTGAGATCTGCAAACACTTTTAGGGATAGCACCCCAGATTTCATTATTAAACAGGGTCTCACTATATAGTCCTGGGTAGCCTGGAGCTCACTATGAGCACTGGACTGGTTTCACAGTCACAGAGACCTGACAGCTTCCCTTTTCTTAGTTCTGAGATTAAAGGTGTACCACCACTTCTAACCAAACTGATATAATTTTATGTCATTAGCATAAACTAAAACAGTTGCTGTATTTTTTTATTGCCTAACAGTTCTTACTTATGTTAAGTTACATTTATTCTAAATGATGTGTTTTTATGTTAGCTACAATATTAGTGCATCATAGGCTGAAATGTCAAGTTCAGCACATGCTAAAGACAGGGATTGTTTCCTTCTCCAGAGAAGAGGTAAGTCAGTGTATTTAAATTAATTTTCTAGGAAGAAGTTTGATAAAGTATGACCAGAGAAGAGGTAAGTCAATGTATTTAAATTCATTTTCTAGGAAGAAGCTTGATGAAGTATGACAAAGATCTTTGGCAAAGTCAACCATTCCTTTCCTTCCCCGTGATGTTTGCTATGGTGACAGCCTCCATTCCAGTAAAATAAACAGGAGCTTTTGCACAGACTGAAGGAGGAGGGACAAAGCAGTGCACAAATGCTACCTGCTATACCTAGATGACAGCTAAGCAAAAATCCATAGAATTCATTCATCTTAGAGTAACTAATTTTAATACTTACTCTCACTGGGCTAGAAAATTGTGTTTAGTATACAATCTAATTAGAAGGATTTGAATAGTTTTGTTCTTTTAAACAATCATTTTTTTTTAAGCCTCTGGTCTCTGAGTTCTACTGAATGGAGTCAGAGGTAACTTTCAAAATAGAAAATGTAGCCAGCAGGGTGTTTGGGTTTGCAATAAAAAATATATCAAGCCTGTGTGTTGACACTTATCCCCAAAGCCCTTAAGTTTAATTTGAATCAGAAAAACATATTTCCTCATCTCCTCACATGACAAATAATGGGACACTGAGAGGCTCTTGGAGAAAACTGTCCAACATTCTTTAACATATAAAGTATTGTTTTCAGAAAGTTAAGGTATTTTCTTAGAAACTCACTTTGACTGACTTTGTGTAGTGATGCAAAGGTTTGGATAGTTCTTTGAAATGACAAGGGACAGTGGGAAGCGAGGTTATTTACAACACACATTGTCTGTATTGACTTTCTGTGACTAGAAAAGGCCAGTGGTAGAAGTCTCTGGGTAGTGGGAATCTGGGTGGTTTTAATTTAATGCTATTTAATTTAATGAATGAACAAATAAATCAATAGATGAAACATCTTCTGTCAGCTTGTGTTGAAACACTGTGATGAATCCTGTCCTCCTAAATGAGTAATGTCAACATCCATTTTGTGTTTCACCAAAAAAGGCTCATTCTTAAGTTTTTTCAAATGTATACACATTTCAAATTCATTCTGTTGTAAAACCAGACACGTAGGCCTCAAATGCTACTTATTTATAAAATACTGACTCATTGGAGGTTTTAGCAGATTTGAAAATTCTATGGCTTTTTCTATCTACTTCCTGAAGGACGAGAGTGACTTAAGAACTGTATTACTTCTTTATGCAGAGTCACT